TAGGAAATGCCGCAGGTTTACAGCCCAAGAGACCAGTTTCTTCTATAATATCCAATGTGTACTTTCTTTGATTTAAGAAAATTCCATCTTTCCTTCGTGCCACTTCAATGCCTAAAAAGTATTTAAGTGCTCCAAGATCCTTCATATGGAAGCAAGTACTTAAATACTCTTTAAATTTTCCAATTGCATCCAAGCAATTCCCCGTGATTACTAAGTCATCCACGTAAACAAGAACGTATATCCGAACTGTTCCCTTATGTAATGTAAACAAAGAGTAATCACGATATGATTGAGTGAAACCATACTTGATTAAAGCCGTTTGCAGCTTCTCAAACCAGCATCGCGGTGCTTGGCGGAGACCATATAATGACTTGCGGAGTCGACATACAAGGTTGTCGTTGGCTGCACGAAATCCAGGAGGCGGTTTCATATAAATTTCTTCTGTTAAATCACCGTGTAAGAAGGCATTATGCACGTCCATTTGGTGCAAGGACCAGTTGCGAGCAGCCGCAACCTTAAGTGTAGCTCGAACTGTTGTCATCTTGACCACCGGTGCAAATGTCTCTGTATAATCTTCCCTTTCCTTTTGATTATTTCCAAGAACAACAAGTCGCGCTTTATAGCGCTCAATGGTGCCATCTGCCAGGTATTTAATTCGATAAACCCATTTAGATCCCAAAGCTTTCTTACCTGGCGGCAATTCGGTAACATCCCAGGTCCCGTTGATTTCATGAGCATTCATTTCTGATCCCATTGCTGAATTCCATCGCTTATCGCGAATTGCTTCTTTGAATGTGGTGGGTTCAACTCCAGATGTAATCGCCGCAAGAAAAGCACGATGTTGTGGGGAGAATTGCTTGCAGGTTACAACATCTGAAATCGGAAAAGCACAAGTTGTTGGTGGCAATATAGGACCAGCTTGCACTGTTCGAACCACAAAATCTCTCAATTTGATCGGTTTTTGTTTTTGGCGCTTTCCGCGACCAAGTTCTGCGATAGCTTCATCGGCTGTTCGTACAGAACCCTCCCTGACTTCGGAGGATGAAGATTCAATGACGTAATGTGTTTCATTAGAGCCTGGATCCAATGTAATATTTGTTGGGCTGACTTCAGGCCCATTATCTGCTGTTGGATTTATTATTGTTTCTGGCCCAACCTCTGAAATATTTGTTGCAGGTTCCATCGGTTCTTCACCAACAATGGCGGCTCCATGTTCAGAAGTCGAATCTGCAGTTTGCACATTTGGACCAATCCGTGGTGCTTCCAAAACCCAATCACTATCAAGCTCTACATCAACTTGTGGAGCTTCTCGATTTTCCAGAAAAGATGGAAATACATCTTCCACAAAAACAACATCACGAGAAACAAATATTTGCTCTGTTTTAAGATCAAAAAGAGTCCAACCTTTCTTTCCGAATGGATACCCGACAAAGAGACATTTCCTACAGCGAGATGCAAATTTATCACCACCGCGTCGTTGATTATGTGCATAAGCAAGACAGCCAAAAACCTTCAAATTATCATACTCTGGTTCAGACCCGTAGAGGAGCTCATATGGTGTCTTTCCTTGTAATAACTGAGTCGGTGTGCGATTGATGATATATGCTGCCGTTAATACACTTTCACCCCAAAATTTCACAGGCAAATTTGCTTGGAAAAGAAGAGCTCTCGCCACATTTAAGAGATGACGATGCTTTCTCTCTGCTTGGCCGTTTTGCTGCGGCGTTCCGACACACGACGTTTCATGAACTATTCCTTGTTCAATAAACATGTCGCTCATACACAGAAACTCAGTTCCATTGTCGCTTCTAATCCTCTTTATTTTCTGATCAAATTGCCTCAAAACCAGTTGCATAAAGTTTTGAACAATTTTGCGTACTTGTGCTTTATCATGCATCAAATACACCCATGTTCCTCGAGAAAAATCATCAACTATTGTCAAAAAATAGTGTGAATCGCAGGTACTTGCTACGCGATATGGTCCCCATACATCCAAATGTATCAATTCAAAAATCTTCGACGCTTTATTAGAACTTGAATGAAACATATCACGAGTTTGTTTAGCTCGCAAACATACATCGCAAGATGAAAAATCAGAAACTCTTTTACTAAGAACTGGAAGCAAATCAAAAACTCCATTCGACGGGTGTCCTAGCCGTTGATGCCACATATCCTCGGCTCCGTCTTTATTCGTATGAAAAGCATTAAAAACTCCTACGCGTCGGAAGAAATAGAGACCGTCTCGTAATTCACCTGCTCCAATCAACGTCCTCGTTGTACGGTCCTGTAACACACACCCGATGTTAGCAACTTGCATCACACAATCGCAGTCCTTTACGAGTTGTGATACAGATATGAGATTACACCGCAACTTTGGAACCAACAACACGTTCTGAAGAGAAAAGCTGTTATCAAAGACAACCGTCCCTTTCTTATCTGATGTAGTTTCATGACCATCAGGAAGACCAATTTTACATGACAAAATCGTTGTCACTTCACTCAAAAAATCTGAGCAACCTGTCATATGATTGGAAGCCCCTGTATCAAGAACCCAGTCGAGAGAATCAGGCTTACCGTTTAGGCGATTCTGTGGTCCCTTTTTCTGATCCTCTAGAAGTTGAATCAGTGTTTTCCACTGATCATTGTTCAGGCCAGTGAATCCGTTTCTCGCAGCTTCACTACTTTGCCCTTCAGATCCGAGTACGCAAGCTGCGTTGGCACGCACGGCTCCACCACGTCCTCGACCGCGAGCAGATTTCCCTCCTCTTTCTCCCCACCATGGAGGATGGCCAATGATTTCAAAACAGTTCTCCTTGATATGTCCACGGCGTTTGCAATGGGAACAAAGGAGCTTGCTTTTGTCTTCCACCGCATCAGTAGGTCGAGAAAATTGTACAGCAAAAGCTGCAGCTTGTACTCCTTGTTCTTCTCGGTTTCGTAATACCGTACGAACACGCTCCACCGATTTCACCTTAGAATAGACTTGATTCAAGTTTGGCAATGGCTCAGTGCTTATGATTGTGGTACGGAGACCTCCAAAGACTGCATCGTCGAGACCAAGAAGAAATTGGTGCACCTTATCATCTTCACGTTTCTTCTCCAATTGACCTCGCAAATCACAAGTACAACCACCGCAATGACAAGTCGGTGCCTGATCATAGTTTAACAGATCTTCCCACAGAATCTGTAATTTACCAAAGTAATCAATAAGGCTCATGCCTTGTTGACGACAGTTTGCCAGTTCTGCTTTGATTTCCTAGATCCTTGGCCCGTTTCCTTCAGAAAATCGATCTTTGATTTCCTGCCATAAATCTTTTGGATCGTCTTTGTTACCGAGAGTCCTTCGCACCTTTGGTTCAATGGTGTTAAGGATCCACAGCGCCACCATGGAGTTGACCGACATCCAATCTTCATACTCCGGTGCATCTTCCTTCGGCTTCAACACTGTCCCATCGACATAGCCGAATTTTTTCTTCACTCGCAAGGCAGATCGAATTGCTTGCGCCCATTCGTCAAAGTTATCACCGGTGAACTGCACTTGAGCAATGATTCCTCCGGGGTTTTCAGTTGCAGAAAGCTGATATGCCGAGTTATTTTTCACGACATCAGCAGTTGCTTCATTCCTCACAGTTTCACCATTGTTAACTTGGTCATTCATTTTGTTTTATTTGCCGTGATGGCTCTGATACCATGAACAAAAAGAGACTGAAAGTTGTGTATATTGACAAACCATGGAGGCAGAAATATATATAAGTACAAGTCTTGAAAAGGAAGCTACGCTCTTAAATGCCTAATTACAAGAGATATCAATCAACGATATGTACAGCTATAGAGAAGTAATTGAGGAGATAGTATTTCCTAATATATGAGATTAGATTCTCATAATAAACTCAATGAATCTTTTACATTTTTATGATAAATTAAATTCAATAAATCTTTTACATTTTATGATAAAGTAAATTCCATCAATCTCTTACATTTTTATGACTAACATAGAACGTTGTATTGTTCCTGTAAACTATGTATAGGGATATTTGTTCCTCTTTTTGTTTTTTAATCCCGAAAACTTAGAAGTTTTAATATATCCTCGTATTATTAAGGTCTGATATGGACAAAGTAAATTATATGTCTAATGTATAACATTGTAACAATAAACTATAGAAAATGTTCGATCATTACCGTTATTAGTTTAATTTTGGTTTAAGTTTTTTTCTTTTTTTGGAACTGGAGCAAGCCATTGTGTAAGTAGTAAACATATTTCTGCGTGAATAAAAGGTTTTATTTATCATAAATATATGTCTTGCATGTGAGTCACGAAAATCGTATTTTTATTTGTACTTATAAATGAATACAATCGTTAATTGATTACAACTAAAAATTAAGATGATCATACAGGCAAAAGTTCAATTGTAAACATAACGATTTATACTAAAACAAAAAAAAACAATGCATTTTTATAAAAATACTTCAAATTGTAGGAGCTTCTTCTGCGATGCTTTTGCACTGCGATAAAGCTGCAGAACAACATGTGTCTTCGTTCTCTTTATTTCTTTGTTTAATATTAGTTGGGTTTACTTAGCTTTTTACTTTTGTAAGAATTACTTTGTGTTATGCAAACTGCAAAGACTTTCTTTTGGAAGAGTCTATTTGCGACCAAAATAAAAATTACAAGGAAAAATTGTCTTTTGGGAGAGTCCAAAGGATAAGAAAGAGAGTAGAGAACAACAGTCACACTGTCGTTCTTCACAGTCTTGGTTCTGATTTACACAATCCAACAAGAAAGTTCTGGTTAATACAGATTTCAGATCATTTTATACCAATTTACCACTGTATTCCAACTCGGTGTGCTCCGCACATACTGTAGTATTCTCTTTTGTCAACATTACTGTTTCTTTTTCTGAAAATAAACACAAATGAGAAAAATTGTATCGATTTGTTTACTTTAGTATTTTAGCTATACAACATGGTTCTCTCTCTCTACGTCCATGGCGACGCTTCAAATAGTCCATCAAGATATTCGTTTACGATATCAGACGCAAACTGTTGTATCGTGCAGACTATACCAACTTCGAAGAAAAACAAGGGTAGGGTATGCGTTCATACAATGTCATGTATCGCTCTCGTGAGGCAAAAGGTTTGACTATTTCCGTATAACTTTCCTTTCAAAAATTGTATATATCAATATTTACAAAAATTTCTTAAATTCACACAAAGTATTTTCTCAAGGTGATGATACCGACCACGATTATAACGGAAGTGATCAAATTACACACCGCGCATGGTGATTGTTTAGTTTGCGGCTATGTGGAAGGGTTAAGTTTCCTTCTTCTTCTTTTTTTGGGTCGTCTTTAATTTTGTGATTGTCTTCGTTTAGCACTTATGTTTTGTATGTTAACCGGGTTTGCCGGTTTGGTGCACTTTACTTTTTAGTTTTTAGTTGGGGCTGACCAGAGATGTGTTTCGCTTGTTTGTTCTTATATGTTTTAATTATTGATAGTTGTGTTTTGAGAATACACACGTATCATTGGAGAAGCAAGTCAAAATGGCAGTCGAACTAATTAACAAAGCTACATGAAGCTACAAGGCAAAATTGGTTACCAACATACGTATGTAGATTTCTCAAATATTGAAGTCACAGTTCCTAAAACACGCGGCTCTGAGATGGTGAAAACATGTCCATGCAATGGGGTTTGGTTTTGCTGCCTCAACAACTGATGGTCCACGTGCTTTCGATTTTAGACAAGGAGATGATGAGGTAATTAAGCTTCTCAACTGTCCTCTTGTTCCTAATTCCCTCTGAATCTTCCTTTCTCTAATTAAAGGAATCTGCTTACTTTTGTAACTATTTCTTTTTAAAGGTAATGGATTTTGGAGATTAGTGAGGAACGTATAAAATCCTGGTCCGGAACAGGTCCAATGTCAGAAACCAAAACCCATTTTACTTCACTCTGGTGAGATGTAGTGGCTCCTCTGTTTCCTAAAAGATGATAAAAGATATGACATTAAGTATTGAAATTTTGTTAACTTTGTGAACTGGCAGCCTCGATTTTTTATGAAATTTTAAATCTTCCTAGAGAACGGGTATCTTTTTCTGGTGATGAAGATCTAATGCTGGTGGTTCTTGACAGGTTCGATTTTTTTTGCTTAGATCCCTTTTTCGGTTTCTTTGGTGTTTTGGATATTGTTAGTCTTTGTAAAGTTTGATATTAATAAAATATGTGTTTTCTTTTTTTTGTCTATCGATGTGTGGATAAAGTTTAGTGTGATTTATTTGATGGATTTATAAATCTTGTGTGTTTGTTTTAGATTATTTTTTTGTACTCCCTATTCTCATGATTGTTATTGTTGTTTTTACAAAGTAAGATATGAGAAATCTGCTTAATGCTGTTTTTATGTACCGGTCATGTTGGTCTAAATTCTTTTGATATCCTTCGTTAAAAATATTAGACTACACAATTTTTTTTTTAAAATGTAAAGATTAGATTTAAGCAATGTTTTTATACCCGGATCGAGCTATCCGGTTGGACAATATTTTAATATAATCTATTAATACTTAGATGATAGTGGAGATATTTTGATTGTGATGCTCCTACTTTACAAAAGTTCGCAATACGGATTCTTAGTCAAACCGTTTCTTCATCTGGATGTGAGCATAATTAGTCTGTATTAAAGAGAATTCATACCAAAAAGAGGAATAGAAGCATCAACGACTTAATGATCTTGTCTTTGTTCACTAGAATTTACGTTTGCAAGATAGGTCAATATAATTACAAATTACTTGTTTATTTATTAAGCTTAGTTTGTAACAAGTTTCTTACATGTTTTATTTTAATGCATGTACAGGTCAAAAAGAAAAAGATCATATGATCCTGCTTCAACGGTTATGGCCTATACTTACTACAAACAACTAAAATGAAGAACTTTGTATCCTAAGATCATTGTGTGTTGTGTTTCAACTATACATTGTGACCTTGTTTCAGTTTTCAAACTATGTATCCTCTTTGTTTCAAGATGAACGTTCATGTTAGAATGGTCAGCTAATAGGTGTCCACGTTATTTATGTGCTTCTACTTAGCAAAGATTATTCGAAACTGATTTTTTGTATAAAGATAGTTAAGCCATGAAAAATGTGAAAATATATGTCTAGCTACCTCCAAAATTTTAAAAAATAAATAGAAGAAGAAAAATATGAGGATGAAGAAAAACTAAAAGACAAAAAAAAGAAAGAAGAAGAACACAAAGAAAGAGTAGAAAATGTGGAAGAATAAGAAGATGTCGAATACAAAACACTAAGAAAATGAGGCAAAAAAATTAGGAGATAAAGCAAAGATC